GTTCCGGTGATGAGCCAAGACAGGGAGAATCCTACTTCCTCCCCCTCACACAAGGAATATAATGCAAAGCACTTGGAAAGTATCGAATGCCTTCCATCTATCTTCTTAACCTTCCAGGTGGTGCCATACATTCTCTGCCATCTCTGTGTGAGGGAGAGAAAGCTGCGTCCATGCAGCCAGATTGGGTAAGTGTGGAACTCTGGATCGTGTTCCTGGGTCTTTCCCCCACCCTCCCTAGGCTGAAGAGAATTTCCCTCCATTTCTTTCCTTCAGCTGCTCTCTGTGCTGCTCACTGGATGCGAAATGGAAATGGAGATTTGAATCCTGGATGTCAGCATCTTATTATAGTCCTTTTCAGGGCTCTTTTTGTAGAAAAAGCCCAGCAGGAGCTCATTAGCATAATAGGCCACACCGAACAGCAGGAACTCATTAGCATACTGGGCCGCACCCCTGACAGCACAGCTCATTAGCATAACCCCCATGTTACCAGAAGTGTGGTCATCCAGCCACACCCACCTTTTGCTTCTTATTCTGTTTACCTTGTTTGCTGTCAAAACCCAGGGCCTTTTTTTGTGGCAGGACCTCCTTTGCATGTTAGGCCACACACCCCTAATGTAGCCAATCCGAATGAGTTTCTGCTGTTGGGTGTGGCCTATTATGCTAATAAGTTCCTGCTGGGCGTGGCCAACTTGGGAGCCAGCCGGAACTCCATTCTTGTGCGTTCCTGCCCCAAAATAGCCCTGGTCCTTTTGGATTGCCCTCAAAAGGGGAAGATCTCTTACATTATCCGTGAAGACAGAGGTGTTTGTTTGTTGGCTTCTCTTCTCAGAGTCTGGTGACCTTGGAGGAGGTGTCTGTTCACTTCACCAAGGAGGAGTGGGCCATGCTAGATCCGGACCAAAGGAGGCTTCACCAGGAAGTCATGGAGGAGAATGGTCAGAACGTGGCCTCTCTGGGTGAGGCTCCCCTTTCTCTTGGCTCACCAGTGTTGATAGCAAAAGTGATTCCTTCCGAGATGGACCCCAAGTCTAATCTGGATGGCCCAGGCTGCTCTGATCTTTCAGCTCTCAGTCCCGGTTAGTAGATGGATGGGAGACCACCAAGGAAGTCCAGGGTCGCTATCAGGGATCATTTCGTAGAAAAAGAGGTGCAGGAGCTCATTAGCATAACTTATTAGCATAAATTATTTGCATATGCCACACCCCCTGACATCACCGGAAGTGTGTCAGAAGGCAACACCCACCGCTCAGGCTCCATTGGACTGTTTTGGATTGCTAGCTATGGGGCTGGGGGACACACGCAGATCTGCCCTTACAGCGGAGGGAGAGCTTGTACCTGAAGGAGGGGGGCTCTGCAACTTACCTGGCTGCTTCTTGCTCCTCGTGGCCCAACTGAGGGCTGCTGGGAGTAGGGGGCGGGGCTTGTTGCATGTGCCCGCCCCCTGGGCTCCTTACTGCCGGAGCTCCGCTCCTGTGTGCTCCCGCAGGAAATGACCCCTGGTCGCTATGCAGAGGCAAGCAAGGCCAACCACCTCTATCCTTCTTTTGCCTTGACAACCCTACAGGGTCGCCAGAAGTGAGCTGTGATTTGATGGCCCTTCCCACCACCACCACCACCAATAAGAACCCTGGTAGGGTTCTTTCAATGGAGGCTCTCAGTAGGGGAGGAGAGTTGGGTGCACAGGCTGGCAAGGGAGGGGCTTCTGCATCCGTACTGGAGTCTCAGAAGAAGAAGAAGAAGAGGAGGAGGAAGAAGAGGAGGAGGAAGAAGAAGAGGAGGAGAAGGAAGAGGAGGAGGAGGAGGAGGAGGAGGAGATTGGATTTATACCCCGCCCTCCACTACCCAAAGGCGTCTCAAAGCGGCTTACAAACTCCTTTCCCTTCCCCTCCCCACAACAGACACCCTGTGAGGTGGGCGGGTGTAAGCGAAAATATTGGTTTGTAAACAAAAAGGAACACAGCAGAGGAGGAAGGGACCTCCCCTGATTGTCCATGGAGGACTGGCCCCACTGCTGGACTTCCTGATGGCCCCTGGTATTTTTGGCCACTGTGTGACAGAGTGTTGGACTGGATGGGCCATTGGCCTGATCCAACACTGGCTTCTCTTATGTTCTTATGTCTGGGTGGGCTCATTGTTCTCCTGGAGTGCAAAGTCTTGAGCAGGGGTCATTTCATAGAAAAAGAGGTGCAGGAGCTCATTAGCATAACTTATTAGCATAACTTATCTGCATGTGCCACACCCCCTGACATCACCAGAAGTGTGTCAGAAGACAACACCCACCGCTCAGGCTCCACTGGACTGTTTTGGATTGCTAGCTATGGGGGGGGGGGGTTCCCACACAGATCTGCCCTCACAGAGGAAGGGAGAGCTTGTACCTGAATACTTAAAGCTGCCACTGGACTGTTTTGGATTGCTATCTATGGGGGGGGGGGCTCTGCAACTTACCTGGCTGCTCCTTGCCCCTTGTGGCCGGGGGCTGCTGAGAGCAGGGGGCGGAGCTTGTTGCATGTGCCCGCCCCCTGGGCTCTTTACTGCCGGAGCTCCGCTCCTGTGCGCTCCTGCAGGAAATGACCCCTGGTCTTGAGTACAGGTGAAAATCCATTGAAAGCAGGGCAGGAGGGGGACTGGCCTCCATAACAGTTTATGGGATGTCAACGGGGCCTCTTCTCGGGCCTTTCAGAGCAGCCATGGAAACGAGCATTTTAAATAACAACAACAAAAAATACAATTTGTATTTGTATAGGGCCCTCCATATGACTTGTACAAAGTTTGGAAAGACTGTGGGCTCTCTTCAAAGCGAGAAGAGCCCCTAGACAGTGGCCCTTGGTCAGAGCCACAGTAGACTGGGACGTCGGATCCTCTTGCCCGGGGAGAGGGGCTAAGATTCTATATCCTGGTGGCTCCTCCATTCTTCTCCACTTTGGGTCACTCTCAGGATCAGCAGATGGATCCTTCCGGATCCAAGAAGTTGCCCCCTCCCTTCCCATTGAAGACATCTTTCAGGAGTTTTAAAAAAATGTTTTCTCCTTTTTGCCATTAGGAGTGGCTGGGTTTCCGATAGCCTGGTTTAAAAATGTAAATGTTTCTTAGAGTTGGAACACCTAGAAGTCACTGGTCTCTTTCTTTTGTCAAAAGGAGGGCTTCTGGTTCTCAAACCTGATTTTGCATCCACAGTGGAAGAAGCAGGGGATCCACTTGTCCAGGACCAAGAGGAAAGAGACAGATCAACAGGTATCTGCTTACTTGTATAGTAGGGACAGAGCATCACTTGCCCCAGAGCCCCTATCTATACCTTGTGGCTAATAGCCACTGATGGACCTCTGCTCCATATGCTTATCTAATTCCCTTTTGAAGCCGTCCATGCTTGTAGCCGCCACCACTTCCTGTGGCACTTCCCGTGGCACCACTTCCTGTGCCGCTGCCATTTCCTGTTCTGATAAGGGCTGTTCTTGAAAAAGAGCAGTTTCTGTGAAGAGCTCTCTCAGCCCCACCTACCTCACAGGCAGGGCCGGATTTAGACTTGCTGAGGCCCTAAGCTATACAAAACTCAGAGGCCCCCTACTGTTTTAAATTACATCAGCTGGTCTCAGAAAAATTTAAAATATATACGCCTTTTTAATATTTGAAATCATTTTTTATATTGTGTTTTTATTCGAGGCCCCAGCAGATTGCGAGGCCCTAAGCTGTAGCTTATTTAGCTTATGCGTAAATCCGGCACTGCTTGCAGGGTGGCTGTGGCGGGGAGGGGAAGGGAAAGGCGTTTGTAAGCTGCTCTAAGACACCTTTGGGTAGTGAAGGGCGGGGTATAAATCCAATCTCCTCTTCTTCTTCTCTTATATGCTTCCTCTTCACATGCCTGTTCAAGTTGGTTCAGAAATCAAAACAATCCCAGAAATTCCTAAATACTGCCTAAATTATCAATTGAAAAAGCCAGGGGCACAAGAAGACGGTAAAATAGTCACTGAGTTGGCTGAGTAATCTCCTGGAAAAAGTCCTCAAATTAGAAGCTAAGCGATAATAGCTAAAATGATAAGCCTCTAACGATAACCCTTTAAGTTAAAGCTCAGTTGGAAAGAAATGTTTTGGCCTGGCTCTAAAAAGATAGGAAGGTGAATTCCAGATGAGCTTCAAATTGGGGGACATTGCCCAGTCCATAGCTCCAAGCAATCTGGGCAAGGGGATGCGTGTAGATGTTAAATAACATTGGGTATAGAACCACCCCTTGGGGCACTCCGCAAACCAGTGGATGCCTTCGGGACAGCTCTTCCTCAAGCATTATCCTTTGTCCCCAACCCTGGAGGAAGGAGGCAAGCCATTGTAAGACAGACCCCTGTATTCCAGCATTGGTGAGGTGGTGGATCAGTAGGTGATGGTCGACCATGTTGAACACAGCTGACAGGTCTAACAACAACAGCACCGCCATCCTGCCTCGATCCATATGTTTTCGGATGTTGTGCGTGAGCAGTGAATGCCCTTCTTTACTTGCTTCCACTTTTGCTTGAATGTCTTTACCTGTCTTTTCTCTTTATTCTAGAGGCTGATGGACTCCAGAACAAGTCCAAGAGAGAACCACAACACCACATACTTAAGAAAAAACAGCAGAAAAGAATCAGTGGAACAAAATGGAAGAGGGGAAATGAATCCTCTCCTCAGGGTGCTGAATCTCAGGTGTTTGATAGACACCGAAGAATTCACACAGGGGAGAAACCTCATAAATCGTTGGAGTGTGGAAGGAGTTCTGCTCAGAATTGCATCCTTGCTGTTCATCAACAAATTCACACTGAGGAGAAATCATATAAATGTCTGGATTGTGGAAAGGGCTTTTCTCAGAGTGACACCCTATTTGCTCATCAACAAATCCACATTGGGGAGAAGTCATATAAATGCCTGGAGTGTAGGAAGATCTTTGCTCAGAGTTCAGATCTTAAATCCCATCAATGTGTCCCCATAGGGGGGAAACCATACGAGTGCTCAGAGTGTGGAAAGAGCTATGCTTGGAGTTCACAGCTTACTGCCCACCGACGTACCCACACTGGGGAGAAACCATATGAATGCTTGGGGTGTGGAAAGAGCTTTGCTCAGAGTTCATCACTTACTGCCCATCGACGTATCCACACTGGGGAGAAACCATATAAATGCTTGGAGTGTGGGAAGAGTTTTCCTCATAGTTCACAGCTTACTGCCCATCTACGTATCCACACCGGGGAAAAACCATATAAATGCCTGGAGTGTGGAAAGAGCTTTGCTCAGAGTTCACAGCGTAGTATCCATCAACGTACCCACACAGGAGAGAAACCATATAAATGCCTGGAGTGTGGAAAGAGCTTTCCTCGTGTTTCAAACCTTACTGACCATCAACGTATTCACACTGGGGAGAAACCGTATGAATGCTTGGAGTGTGGAAAATGCTTTGCTTTGAGTTCACAGCTTACTGCCCATCAGCGTATCCACACTGGGGAGAAACCATATGAATGCTTGGAGTGTGGAAAATGCTTTGCTTGGAGTTCACAGCTTACTGCCCATCAATATATCCACACTGGGGAGAAACCATATAAATGCCTGCAGTGTGGAAAGAGCTTTGCTCGGAGTTCACAGATTACTGAACATCAGCGTACCCACACTGGGGAGAAACCATATAAATGCCTGCACTGTGGAAAGAGTTTTGCTTGGAGTTCACAGATTACTGCCCATCAACGTAGCCACACAGGGGAGAAACCATATAAATGCCTACAGTGTGGAAAGAGCTTTGCTCGGAGTTCACATCTTACTAAACATCACAGTATCCATACTGGGGAGAAACCATATAAATGCTTGGAGTGTGGGAAGAGTTATCCTCGGAGTTCACAGCTCACTGAACATCAGCGTATCCACACTGGGGAGAAACCATATAAATGTTTGGAGTGTGGAAAGACTTTTTCTCGGAGTTCACAACTTACTGAACATCAGCGTATCCACACTGGGGAGAAACCATATAAATGTTTGGAGTGTGGAAAGACTTTTTCTCGGAGTTCACAACTTACTGAACATCAGCGTATCCACACTGGGGAGAAACCATATAAGTGTTTGGAGTGTGGAAAGACTTTTCCTCGGCGTTCACAGCTTTCTAGACATCACCCTATCCACAATGGGGAGAAACCATATAAATGCCCTGAGTGTGAAAAGAGCTTTCCTCATGATTCAGACCTTACCGCCCATAAATGTATCTGCACTGGGCAGAAACCGTAGAAACATTTGGAGCGTGGAAAGAATTTTGCTTAGAGTTCACACATTACTACCCATCAACAGAGAGAGTTGTCAATTTTTTCATCTCTTGGGTCATTTGATGTTTCATTTTCTCAAACTTTCCATTTATAATTGCAAATTTCTCATCAAATTTCTCCTCAGCCCTCTTTTCAAGCCCTTCAAGTTTATTGGACATTTGTTCGAATCATTTTCAAAGGAGTTCAGGTGTAACAGTCTTTTCTGTAGATAAGTTTGTTGATTTTTTCCTAGTAGCCATTGTAAACGTTATGATTTGTAATCCCACAACAGAACACTTAATGCCACCAAAGATAAAGGAGACAAAGATCCAAATAGTATATCCAGTTGAAGTGGATTAATATCCACTTCAGCGCCCTTAGAAAATATACTGGCACAATTGTAAATAAATAGTAATAAATTGTAATCCAAAATCAGAGCTCCAATCCAATGTCATTATAATTTGTAATCCAAAACCAGAGTTCTCCTGACTGGCCACAGTTCTATATGAGCAAGAGGGATAGGAAGTATACCAAACCTAACAGCCAAAACTATGTTTGTATATTTCCAGGAGTCTTCGTTGCCAAATAAATTATTACCCCAATAGGAAGCTCTCTTTGCTGTAAAACTCCAGGTAAAATAAAAAGCTGTTGTATTTGCCCAGCAAGGCCTCCCATTAGGGTTGCCAGCCTCCAGGTGGGGCCTGGGGATCTCCCGCTTTTACAACTGATCTCCAGCTGACAGAGATCAGCTCTCCTGGAGAAAATGGCGGCTTTGAAGGGCGGACTCTATGGCACTGTGCCATGCTGAGGCCCCTCCCCAAACCCCACCCTCTCCTGGATCCACCCCCAAAGTCTCCAGATATTTTCCAACCCAGACCTGGCAACCCTCTCTCCCATAACTATAGCAACCAAATTATAATCCAAACAAACAATTCTCTCTACTGTAAAATCTTGGTGGGAAAAAAGCCAGTGTTTATAACTTGTAAATATTAGCATTCCAAAGTTTTGTTCATCATAATATTGGCTGTGAGCCAATCAAGACCTTAAGGAATAGCAGCCTGTGTACTCTGCTACCATACAAGCTGGTACTAAAGGAATGTAAGTCTATAAATAGAAAGCAAAGTCTCAGACCGAGAGGTATAGCCAAGGTTCAGTCCAATTGCCAATTAGCAAACACTTTACAAAAGCCCTTTCATCCCAAAAGCAAGAAAAAGAAAGGGTTTCTTTTAGGAAACTCCTGTGTGAACTTTCTTGAATAATAATCTAAATAAATTTAATAAGCTTCTTGCAATCCAATCTTTACTATTCCAGGAGTTTTAAGAGGCACACATCAGGTGCTTATCTCACCACCAGACGAAATGCAGGCTCCGTAGCAGAGGAAATCATTCTTTGTCAAAAGTTTAAGTCAGTCCCTTAGAATTTAAGAAGTGAGTCTCAGACAGATTTTAGTTAACATAAGAGACGCCAATGTTGGATCAGACCAAAGGCCCATCCAGTCCAACACTCTGTGTCACACAGTGGCCAGAAATACTAGTGCCATCAGGAGGTCCACCAGTGGGGCCAGGACATTAGAAGTTCTACCTTGGCAGGCGGAGAAACCGTAGAAATGCCTGGAGTGTGGAAAGAACTTTGCTCAGAGTTCTGCCCATTGACAGATCCACACAGGGGAGAAACCATATAATTGCTTCAGTTGTGGAAATAGTTGTGCTTGGAATGCACACCTTACTGCCCATCAAAATTTAGAGAATTTATGTGCTGCTACTTTATTCCTGCATTCCTTGCACTTCAGCATTCAGTCATGCCGGCCATGACCACGGAAACATCTTCGGACAGCGCTCTTTGGCTTGGAAACAGAGATGAGCACCACCCCCTAGAGTCCAATTCGACTAGCTTTCAACCAAGGGAAACCTTTACCTTTTACTTTATTCCTGTTAAAAGCAGGACAGTGTCTGCAAAAAACAGGATAGTGGGGCTTCCGTGCATGTGCCTGGAGTGAGGTTGCTTCTTCCTCCTTCCCCCACTCTATGTGTCCTTCACTCTGCCACCACCCAAACTAAAACAGTGCCCCTCTGTTTACCTGTGGATAGGGACACAGGAAGGGTCTCTCTGTGAGAGGTTGGATGGTCCCAGCTCCCACTCCCCTTTCTCTGCATGCAGGAACAAGTGACCAGGCAACTTGAGTGAAGCACTTTGAACACAGTCCAAGATCTTAAAAGACCAGATCTTTATTGACTGGTGTGCAGGTGTGGAATCTAGAGCATCAGCATCCAGGGGGAAAGTATCATGACCTAAAGGACTACAGCAGATCTAGATCCAGTTTGGTGTAGTGGTTAAGTGCGCGGACTCTAATCTGGGAGAACCGGGTTTGATTCCCCACTCCTCCATTTGCACCTGCTGATGTGACCTTGGGTCAGTCACAAGCTCTGGCACAGCTGTCCTTGAAAAAAGAGCAGTTTGTGTCAGATTTCTCTCAGCCCCACCCACCTCACAGGGTGTTTGTTGTGGGGAGGGGAAGGGAAAGGAGTTTGTAAGCCGCTCTGAGACTCCAAGTGAAGGGCGGGGTATAAATCCAATCTCCTCTTCTCTTCTTCATCTTCTATTCTAGAGTTCTCAGACATAAATTTGTAGATTAGAAGCTGTCTTACCCATATCAGTGGATGTTGTGTGTTGAGGTCCAACTGCAGAAGCTTCTGAGAATGCCCAGCTGTGCAGCAAGGAAGATGGGGTGTGTTGGTTAACGGCCAAAAGATACTCATGTGGATGAGCAACTTGTAACCACTGTTTTTAAATAGACTTTGTTAAGATAAACAGTTGCCAGAATGAATTGTTTTATTTATTTTGAGTAAAGAATTTTAAGTAGAATTTGTGCTCACAAGACTCCACAGCTTAGAGAGATCATTGGTTAGATGTAGTTCTTATATCATCTTTGGTTTGTGATAATATTGGTGAGAGAGAGTGTGCCTCAGACTGCACAGGGAGCAGGAACCATATGTAATGCAAGGTTATTATTATTGACCAGAGGGTGATGGGTGCTGAAGTCCTATAAAGATGGCCGATTTAAGTCTGCAGCAAAAAAATTAGGGGAAAATGTAGAAGCCCTGAACTTCAGAAGGAGTTGAGGCTGTGAAAAGGCACAGGAAGACCCCTATTTCAAATTGTTTCCGAGACCATGCTATCGATGTGGGGACAAAGTGCATATTCAGGCCCAATGTACAATCTCAGCAGGGAAATCCATGTCCCCTCTTCCAATCCAAACAATTTGAGACAGTGAGGGAAAGTTCTTAGGATGCGTTACAGAAAGCTTTCCCATATGGATTTGAGATCACAAACCCTCAAGATTTCGACTCTATAAAGGAATTGGTATGTGTTAGAAGAAACATGTTTCACTGGTAGACTCATAGAGCTGGAAGGGACTTCGAGGGTCATCTAGTCCGACCCGCTGCACAATGCAGGAAATTCACAAATACGTCGTCCGTCCCCCCCATGATTCTATTATTCTAATAAACATTTCCTTTCCTTCAGATTGTTGACAGCGTCACCCCCATGCCCCTTCACACACGTACCCCGACTCCGCAACAAGAATAAAAAGGCAGAGAGATTTTTAAAAGCCTATTTTGCAAGCGGTGGAGACAGCGCAGGGCAAGCAGTGGCGCCCCTACGGAGAATTGCCTTTCCACTCTCCTCTTTCCGGCCAAATAGATTTTGCAGCAATAAAAATAACCACACCAACACCCGCTTCCAAAGGACAAAGCGGGAAGAGTTGTCCCCCCCAAGAGTGGCCACGCCGCCTCCAGGCTCTCCGCCCGGCTTTGGGTGCGAATCCGTCCAAGGGTTAATGGAAAAGCGTCTGGATTCCTAGAGGGAGGGATGGGGACGTCCCTTCCGGTCCAGATCCCCTCCCGCCTGGAAAGCCGTCTTTCTCTCCTTGTTTACGCGCAGTATCCGCTCCGTCCCCGGCTGGGCAGGTGAGCCCCGGCCGGGATTGCAAGGAAAGAAGTTGCAGCGGGGATGGGGTGGGGTGCAAGGCAAAGGAGAACCCCCCAGCACTTGGGGAGGGAGGGGAGGCCGCAGGGACGGGCCAGAGGCTGGCTAGGGAGCGGAATCCCGAAACGGATGCGCCGTTTTCCCCGGGGAAGGAGCGGGATCAGTACACAGTACTCCAAATGAGCAGGTACCACAGATCTATACAGGGGCATTACAATATCAGACATTTTATTTTCTTCCCTTTCCTAATAATTAAGGCCTTTGCCTGCTTCAGGGCTGAAGGGGGCAGGAGGCAGGTAAGAACATAAGAGAAGCCAATGTTGGTTCAGGCGGATGGCCCATCCAGTCCAACACTCTGTCACACAGTGGCCAAAAATACCAGGTGCCATCAGGAGGTCCATCAGTGGGGCCAGGACGCTAGAAGCCCTCCCACTGTTGCCCCCCCCCCCAAGCACCAAGAATACAGAGCATCTTTTGCCCCAGACTGAGAGTTCCTATCTATACCTTGTGGCTAATAGCCACTGATGGACCTCTGCTCCATATGTTTATCCAATTCCCTCTTGAAGACATCCATGCCTGTAGCCGCCACCACCTCCTGTGGCAGTGAATTCCATGTGTCAATCACTCTTTGGGTGAAGAAGGACTTCCTTTTATTCGTTCTAACCCAACTGCTCAGCCATTTCATTGAGTGCCCACGAGTTCTTGTATTGTGAGAAAGGGAGAAAAGTACTTCTTTCTCTACCAGTTCTATCCCATGTATAATGTTATAAACCTTAATCATGCCGCCCCTCAGTCGTCATTTCTCCAAGCTAAAGAGCCCCAAGGACTTTAACCTTTCTTCATAGGGAAAGTGTTCCAACCCTTTTATCATTCTTGGCCCCAGTCACACGAGATGTTTTGGGCCGCGAGAGGGACGGATCGGGGCCGCAGCAAACGGTTGCGATCCCACCGCAACATCTGGGAAGCGTTGCGCGCCCATTCCCGATCCGGCCCTTCCACCCAAAACCCCGCAGCAAAAATGAACCACCTACTGAGGTGGTTCGTCCGGGAAGGCCGCATCAAAGCCGGCTGTGGGATCGCCGGCGCATCCTTCTGCCGGCGCATCCCCGGCTCCTGGCCAAACTGCGCATGCTCGCACATGCGCAGTTCGGCAGCCTCCCCCTCCCGACGGTAGCTTCCTCCCCGGCATCTGATCGTGTCGGGGAGCAACAGCGCCACAGCTCAGGGGATCCGTGGGATCCCGCCGTGGCGTCTCTACTTTGGTGCGGCTCTGATTTGCCGCACTTTGGCCGATGTTTTTCCTGCTGTGTGGCAGGGACCCTAGTTGCCCTTTTCTGCACTTTTCCCGATTATATAATATCCTTTTTGAGGTGTGGTGACCAGAACTGTACACAGTATTCCAAATGAGATCACACCATCGATTATGATACTGGCTGATTTGTTTTCAGTTCCCTTCCTAATAATCCCCAGCATAGCATTGGCCTTTTTTATTGCATTTGCACACTGTCTCGACATTTTCAGTGAGTTATCTACTACGACTTCAAGATCTCTCTCTTGATCAGTCTCTGCCACGTCGGACCCCATCAACGTGTATTTATAGTGAGGAATTTTGGCTCCAATGTGCATCACTTTGCGCTTGGCCGTACTGAACACTATTTGCCATGTTGATGCCCAGTTGCCCATCCTCAGTGTTTGAAGAGGAAAGGCATCCCTGAAAGGGAGGTCCTGTCCGTTGCAATCGCTGGCCTGCCCCATCTCTTTCTTGACATAAAGGATAAGAAAGACCTCTACCTGAGATCCTGGAAAGCCACTGCCAGTCTGTGTACACAATATTGACGCTGATGGACCAAGGATCAGTATAAGGCAGCTTCATTTGTTTGTGTCTGGTTTGCTCACCAAAGACCTCATTGCCTTTGCAGGATTTAGGAGCTCCACCCAGTTTGCCAGTCTTGACCAACAGAGAGGAATTTGTAGCACATTAAGGTGATCCATTGGCCTGGTGAGAAGGTGACTTGAAGAATGAATAGAGGAGACATGGAAAATCAAGACTCAGCTGGCCCAGAAGCAGGAAAAGAACCTCATGCCACGCCCACTGGGAAGA